TTATCAATTTTGAGTAGAGAAAACAAATTTAGGGACCTCATCACCACTACTTCAAAGTGTCACCATTGTGTGGAGGCAGAGGAAATGGGAAAAGACATCACCACCAGGTGGACAGGGTGGAGATATGAGACAGGACCAACTATGCTTCATAGTAATTTTGATAGTTGTCCGATTGTAAAAAATAATAAAGTGTAAGATTAATTTGGGAGATGAATTTGCCACCAAGAAAAGAGTACATATGGGTCCCAAATATTTAGTGTGGAGATCTACGTTGGTTTTGTTCAGCACATTCTCTACTTCCCTGGTCTGTGTAGATAGCTTCCCAAAGGGTGACTGATTTTACTTTCTGGATTTTTAATTTCTGACAGTTATTTCCCCTATTGTCAAATTTGTGCCATAAGGATACTTACTACTTAAACATCTCTTGCAAAAGCTTGAGACCCTAGAGACAGTACCCTAAGAAGCCAGTTTAGCAGCTCCTCTACAAGCTGCCCACTCAGTAAAGGGTATTTATAAAATCTTATCAGAAATTTCCAAGGCTTCTCTAAATACATTTGCCTGGAATGCTCACGTCATTGTAATCCTTTCAACCTGTTAGAGCTATTTAACAGCAGAAGACCATTTATTCAGCTATTGAAAATTAATTACTTACATTACCCAAGTTTGCAAGGGGGAAATGAAAAGGCAATGGAGAGGCAGAAGGGAGGCAACCCTGTCCACCAAATTCTTTTCTCCTCTCTTCATATTTTCAAAGAGCCACTGTATTGAGAGACAGAGTGAGCTGAAAAATTGATTCATTTCGCATCTTACTGCATCTTGCAATGTTATTTTCATAACATTTTGGGAAGCCCCCAACTTTCCAGTTATTTTACTCAGCCAAAATTAAGTAACCAAACATGAAAAATAGAAATGTTTTTGACTGGGTAGTACTTTAGGGAGTGAGATGGATGAATGAATAAATGTCTGCCACCCAAAGCCTTTTGCTTTCCATTGGCCAGGTATTTGCTTAGGAAATAGAGACATTTTATGCTTTTCCAGTATCTTCATGAGAAAGATGTGTGGTTTTCCTTAATGAAGCTAGAGGGTGAGAAGAAACTTAAACTGGGGATGGTGAGGTGAAGAGACAATTCTGGATATTAGATTTTCAGCTGCTCTGAGACCCAACTTCAGTATATTTTAAAAAGTGGAATAAATATCTAATTATAATTTTTATTATAATATATATTGCCTTTATTTGGCCTTTATAGTATAGAAATAATATTATTTTGCCTAACAATATAGACAACTTCTTATAATTACTGATATAGGTAGAGTGAGCACTATGGATAAACAAAATCCACAGTAACTCAAAAATTTCACTTTGTGCTACAGTTTTAAATCCTTTCCTTGCTGAGAAAACAAGTAAATAGGCCAATGGAGTATTCGCGCATCTTATTTTCTCTTTTTATCCACAGGGAATAGAAATTATGAAAACACATTTAGCATTAGGGAGAAGTCCTATAGTCATCCCATGAATACTTGAGAGCTGGATGAAATATGTATTATTCAAAGCTTATTCTTACCCTAACAGGAAAAGGTTCGGATCTTAACCCTTGGCTTGGTGTTGTCAGCACTATGCTCAACCAGTGAGCCAACCGGCCATCCCTATATAGGATCCAAACCTGTGGCCTTGCTGTTATCAGCACCACACTCTCCTGAGTGAGCCACAGGCCGGCCCTAGGAAAAGGTAATCTTTAAAAAAAAAAAAAAGACATATTTAGGAGAGCACCATTGATTTTTCCTTAAGAATATTATATTTTCAAATGCTACTTCTAATATAATGGTAATATATATGCTCTGAAGCACATCTTGGGAGAAAATTAGCTAAACTTGTTCTGATATCTGCAGAGTATCACCCAAATTCAATTCACTTTCTGCTATTTTTCAATAAGTAATTAAAAAAGAATTCCCCCTGAGTTGATCTAGTCTGCTATTGTAGGCCTTTTGCTATCAACATGAACATTCTCAATTAGCTCCAGTGTTGTTATAATTACTGGACGTGTTTTCAAACAACTCCCAGTTAATAACTATTGGGATGAAGAGTCATTTTCTCAGTGTAGACTAGACCGTGCACGTTCATGCTTGCTGTGATGTTTTGACAATGATTCATTAACCAATAATAAAGCCCCAACTGGAACCATTAAGCATCAGTGCCTTTGCTAGACTTACCTTTTATTTCATTCCTCAATATTGTCTTTTTTTGACTCGGTTTCTGGATAACTCCCAAGAGACTCCTTACTATACGAAACAATATCATGAAGACAGCTGTCATTAAATTCAGCTACTTGTAAAGAAGCTCCCCTTAAGAGGATGCTCTTGTTGGAAACTCAAGGTGGAAAAACACCATAAAAAGAAGGCTGTAATAAGACAGAATATAGCTTATAGTCCTTTATTTGCACCAGTTCACAGAGATTAAGCAGATTAGGTACTATGTCTTTCAGTGTTATATATAACATCTGGTCAAACACAGGCCTTCCATCATTATATTAGTCAAGTTTGAAGTTCTTTTGTTTTCTAACAGGCAGATTGTTTTGACTTCTTGAGTATCTGAAACAGAAATGCTATAAAACTGATCATTGATCCACTTGGATCTGTAAAACATCAATATTATTGTCATTAGAACAATTTAAAAGGAGAGCAAAAAAGTGTTCATCATTCACTATTCCTTCAGAATCTCTCCCCTTAGTCTCATGGTAGGTTAGTGACATTTTGCTGGTTCTTACTATTGTGAGATGACATGGGACCGAGTAAAGGGGCATTTTGATCCATTCTTCAGTTTGAATCCTAAATATCCAGCAAATACATTTTACTTCTTTAGCCAACGTCCTTTTAGATGCCACTTGGCACCATATAAATAATTTTGATGTTCTGGAGTCTTATGTGCTGGATGGTAAAGACTTGCCTTGGGGGTAAAGATCATGTGAAGTGTTTTTTGACAGCTCAGTGTGGGTTCTCGACAATCTGTGTGAAAGAGAAGGATTTAACAATGCTCTGGCTAACAGAAAAAAAGTTATGGGAAGTTTTTGAAAAGTTCTGGGAAAAAAATGAAATAGTTTCTCTCTTACTGGTCAGCATGTATGTTCGAGTTGCTGCATATGTCTATTATAACTTTATCAGTGTAGGAAGGAAGTTGACAGATTGTACACATTAAAAAAATTATTAGGTCCACAGCCATGTGTATTTCTAAAAATTAGACTTAGTGGTGATTATTCAGGTCCAAAATTGAGATTCATAACAAGTACATGTTTCTTGCCCACACAGAGAAACAAGAACGACCTCCTTCCATAAATAAGTAATCAAATAGAACTGTTCTCGGTGTTGAAAGGTGGGGAACTCAGACCCAGCTGCTCTGCCACCACTCTCAGTAGGACCGATAGATTTCAGAGGCACTGCTCTTTTCTTGATCTCCATCTCCTCTTCTGAAAAATAGGCAGTTGAACAAGATAATCTCTCTCCAAGCTCTAAGTTCTGTTAAGATACTCTAATAAGAATGGAATATTTAAAAATTTTACTCTGGCTCTCTAAATATGAAAAAACAAAAATATCTCTATATGCATTCTTTTATCTTCCAGAGTAAGTTTAAATTTAAGGCCATTTAGGAAAAGAAAATTCATCAAGGTTATTCAATTTATCTCATGTTTCTCAAAATGTCTTCATCATGTATCCTGAAGTGGCCTCTTCTTTTAGGAACGGTTTGGATTGTGATTTTCCTAAACTAACTCATGTATTATTTTCCAGATACCACTGGAACATGATTTTCTGATTTTCTATTTATCTTCAGATACTTGTTATCTTTCCAGACTCCCAACTCTAACTGCTTCCAGTTTTAAGAGAAAGTTATGTATAGGCACCTCATATACCACATTATGGTGTATTAAATGTAGAGAACATACGAGTAATGTATTTGCCCTAAACTGGTGTTAAAATTATCAATTTCTGGATATGTCCATCTAAGAATGCAATACCCATCTAATATAAGGAAGGAACTAAAAAATTAAATCCTCCAGTAATTATTTTAAGACTAGGAATATTTACAATGTTTCAAAAGGTAAAAAAGGTAAAAAATATTTATGAATGTTTATATTAAGTAGTAAACTATGGAATGCTTTTGTCATGTAATATTTCTTGTGTGTATATGCACACATTTAACAATATTTTAAGCAATCTGTGATGGGAAGGTGTCCAGCAAATTTATATACTTGGAGTAAGTAACTTTGATAAAGTGTCTCTCTCAGAGTTGCCTGAGTTGGGCATTTTCGAACTTGTTGGAGGATTTCTAATTAATGTCTTTATTTTATTTTGTGGTTGGCTGGTAGAGGGATCTGAACCCTTGACTTTGGTGTTATAAGGCTGTACTCTAACCACCTGAGCTAACTATCCAGCCCTCTGACTAATGTCTTGATGCTGTGTTAGAACAACATTGGAATGTGTTCTATTTGAGTAGGCACATCTAGATGTACCTTCATCTTTTTCAATTTTATATATAAACCCTTTGCTAAAGTTGGAGATTCTAGTAGTATTTTTGAAATGTTATCTGAAAATTTATTGATGATTAGTTAATTGAGTTCATTTTAGGAGTAACTGAAATGTTTATGCTATTTTTTTTTCTCATCAGAGAGGTAAGTAAGAAACACAAGTATATAAATTTATTTCTGGGTAACTTCAAGGTTTTCATTATGCTAAGGAAGCATAGAGATAGATTAAGAAATCAAAAGATCCAACATACGGGCCAGCCCGGTGGCGCACTGCTACAGTGCGCTGCTTGGGAGTGCAGTGGTGCTCCCGCCGAGGGTTCGGATCCCACATACAGACCAGTTCCCGCTCACTGGCTGAGCGAGGTGTGGGAGCAACACCGAGGGTTGCGATCCCGTAGCCGGTCCCGGTCCGGTATGGGCGCGACACTGAGGGTTGCGATCCGTTGCTGGACACGAAAAAAGACAAAAAAAGATCCAACATAAAAGCAAAGGCTTTATTCTCTAGTACTTATTCAGCCCAAATTCTGATTTGAAAATAGATAACTAAAAATCTTCCTAGAAAGTAAAATATGGCCCCATAATCTGATTGGGCCCCATATTTTAAATCCTGCACAAAGCCACATGAACTGCAGTTAGGTGATAGTAATTGGTCATCACTTTCAATGCAGACAGATTGGCTGGAGTTTGTTTTCTCCATGTCCATTCCTGGAGTGTTTTTGGTCTCCTACAAGATGTTGTCTATACAATGTGAAGGACTTTGAAAGCAGCCACAGCTTGCTTTTCCCTTTCGTGTCTGCTCTGCAGTATTTCCAAAAGTGAGATTTCAGGTAAACGTTCTTCTTTTCCAGCATAGGTTGGGTTTTTTTCTTCCTTTGATGCTTGACCAGTCAGATTTGGTATTTTGGGTTTTGGGATGGTCTTAGCATATTCCAAAGCCTAAAAGCATAAAGATAAAATTTTATTTGAAATGGGAAGTGAGCCCTGATTCCTTAAATTAAATCTAGTCTTAGGAAATGTTTATTTACAATATAAATGGAGACTACTAGTGTAATATAAAACACGGGTGGAAATTGAGGTCAAATGGAAAATGCAAATAATCCAATATAAGGAACAGTTTAAACAAAACAAATTAGCCACAAAACAATAGGCTGTGGGGAAAAAAGGAGCTGAAGAATGACATACACAGTTGTGTCCTTTGGATGTTTTCTTCATAAAACTGAGTTTCCTTCAAGTGTTTGAAAATAGATATCTCATGTGTTTGATCTATTTTGTTTCTGGCAGTCTTATTAAAACCAAATTTCTAGTAAGGAGATATTAACAGACCTTTCTATCCAAAGAGGACTTGTTACAGCTTGAGACCAAAGACATCACTGTAGTTGATATAAAATTGAGCCTCTGTTATTATATCAACTATTCTTGTTCCTAGGCTCTTAGAACTCTAGAAAGTATGAGGTCAAAAATTATTTTTTTCTTTAGTATATCTACAGAAACCTAAATGTTGGGAAAAGGCAGACTTTTCTTCAGTGATGTCAGTTCTGAAAGGCATCACAATAAAAATGAGGTCACTAAATATGATTTCTAAGTCCTTTACATCAGTTTTGTATTTTAATAAGAGTTTCTTGTTAGCCGAATTGAAAATGGATAGTATCTTCTAGGTCCTGGGAAGAGAAAAAAACTCCAAAACATAGGGAAAAAATCCAGACTTCTCAGCGTGTGTAGGTGAATTCCATAGGAATTTCTAAGTATAGATTTGTTGCTTTGAAGTTCTTTGTGAAAAAGTAGTAGATTGGAGAAAAAAGAAAAAGTGGCACCTTGGAAACCCAATCAAGTGACGTGAGGTCTTCAAGGTCTGAGGAAGAAAGGCAACAAACAGAAAATATGATGGTCTGCAAAAAAGAACATGAAGTACAAATTCCTAAAGGCACCGAAGGATCACTTGTCCCTTATGCAAAGAGTCCCATGCTCTTACTGGGATTAGGTAGATCTATTGAGGCAGAGACTTGTACTGCAAAGCTCTGAGTCTCCACAGTATGTAATCCATTTACATCATGACTTGTGGTCAGGTGACATCTGAGAGGGAGAACATTCTGTATTTCATGAAATCATTTTTCTTCTATAGAGGAATCTGTATATTACAATCCATACAGAAAAGCATAAGGGGTGCAGAATGAACTTGAGAGAAACAATGAAGAATTTTTCTTTGACATATTAAAAGCGAGAGGACACTAATTTCTTTAAAACTTATTTAAAGATTGAGAATGAGATTGTTAATCAGAATTGCTAGTTTCATCTAATAAATCACCTTATTATTTAATTTTTATGTGCAACAAATATAAAATACTATACTTGGGAGAAAAGATGTGTAGACAATGAAATTCAGGGAAAAAAAAAAGGCTAACCTTACAGTATTGTGTGTATGTGTGTGTGTGTTGTGTGTCACTATTGTATCAATATCTGTCAGTGGTGGTAGCTGCAGGAATGACAGTAGCTAAAACATCTCCTGTGCTCCAAAAACACAGAAAAAAATTTTAAGTTAAGAGGTAAAAGAAGTTTCCTTTAAATTCTGATTGAAGAAATAAATGCCTTAATGAGAATTTCTTACCTTCTGCCGAGGGATGGCAGATTTATTTTCAGTTTTCGCTGTTTGTGGTTTTGACAGAACGGCTAGTGTCTTCATGTTGTGCTCCTTAACTTGTTTTGCGTATTCCTTTTGCTGTATTAATTTTTGCATCTGTTCAGACAAACAGTTGTGATGAATCACAGGTCCCGCTAGCTCTCTCTACTCTCTGTTTAAAGTGACACTAGTTTTAGTGACCTGGGCATATTATATCAGCAGCACAGGAGAAAAGAGATTACCACACACAAGGTGACAGCAGTGAAATGGTTAAGTTAATGTTTCTGCTAGAAATAGTCTCTCTGTGAGGAGGAACATCACAGCAATAGCATACCCAGTGTTCTCTTAACAGTGGCTAAATCACACTCGGTCCCTTCTTTGTTGCATTTACCCAATTTATTTTCATTTTTGCTTCAAACTTTGAACTATACTCTCTTTTTATGCCTTGAGTGCAACCGCAGTTAAAACACATTAAATGAAGATCTCCTTTCACTAGAGGAGAGAGAATAAAGTGGATGCACTCTTCAGGGGTTGGGAAACTCTTACCCTAAGTGTCTTCTCTGTAGCCACTCTTCAAAATTATCAAGATAACTCTACTGGGAAAGACCAACAACCACATAACATACACATCTCTTTTCATGTGCACATATCCCACTTTTCTGCATGGGCCTTCAAAACTAACTGAAATGTGGTTACATAAAACAACATGGACTAAGCATTTTTATTTTATAGTAAAAGGAGTGCCTGGGTCTCTGTTATCACTGCTATTTCAGAAGAGTCTCTAATCACAGTGCGACTTTTGAATTAGGGCTTAATTCTGTGGGGCATCTTTATACAGTTTTGCTAAAAGACTGATGGGCTGAGTCAAGCCTGAAAACAATGTATGTACATTTCACTCACTTTGTCTCTGATGGACTCAAAGTCAGGTCCAAGGCCTCCAAGCTTCACGTCTCTTTTCTGATAACCTTTCAGCTTGGAACTCTACAAATACAACCACAGAAACACTTTCTTTTAGGGACTTGTGTGTCCCCCAAGTTGTCATAGCCACATAAGGGAAGAAGGAATATGAGGAATGGAAGCCTGTGTGGACTGTCAGAGTATGGGTGCATTTCCTGACAATTCTTCCATTTTAATGGTGTTATTGATAATAGTCTCTTTGGTAATTTGTAGCTGGTTAGCTAACCTGTTTTGGCTTTTCCACTTCTGCAGTAAAGAAAATTGAAATTCCAAAAATTATAAATAAAAAATTTCAATCTAGGATGGGCTGTTTTGTTGTTAATGTTTCTAACATAACGTATCTATCACCACTTTCCCACTGCTGCTATTACTATTACATCCAGTCTTGTACAGTACAGTTTGCTAACCCAAATGACTTCCCTAGAGAAGCAACCTAAGTGCATCAGATAGGAACACTGTTTCAGGAAGAGAATACCTTGTCCAACAACGTCAAAATATTGTCTGTTAGAGACACTACAGAAGAGGAGCAAAGAAGGAAGCAAACATTAAAATTTTGCTATTGGTTGCTGGGAAAAAGAGATAATTTAAAAGGAAAAACAACTATAATCCATTCTTAATATTCAAAAGAAAGTAAGCATTTAAGAGTCTTGGCAAGACCCACTAAGAAACTCATTTTATTAACTCAGTGTGATTTTGGATATTTTGAAGGGCACACAGAATTTTATATGATAACTCTTCTTAATATTATGCATTTAACAGGACAGAGAAAGAGAGTGAGGCAATTTAACTATTAGATTATAATACTTGAGCACAATAATAGAGAGGAAAAAGCCTAATGCTAGAAAAAGTCTAGAAAAAGTCTAGTCCAGACTACAGTATAGATTCAGATATTCCCCAAACTGTGGCTTTCAACATTAAAATAGGAGTTTATACTTGCTACTTCCACTTGTGGGGAAACCGAATTTTTTTTTTTCAGTTTGTTAATTAATTTGGTTTCCTTTTTGGGAAGGGTAGGAAAGACAGTATGAAAGAGATGGATTGGATGACAGTAATTATCTTAGGGCACATCTAAATTTGTGCTTAGAAGGGAGAAAAAATAGCCATACTGAAGAGGTAGCTGTTCTATACCAACTGTGAATGACACTACCTGTCTATTTGATAGTGACAAGGCATAGTATTTTTATAGTTTTTTTTTTTTTTTTTAAAGATGAGCAGTAAGGGGATCTTAACCCTTGACTTGGTGTTGTCAGCACCACACTCTCCCAGGTGAGCTAATCGGCCATCCCTATATAGGATCCGAACCCTTGGCCTTGGCGTTATCAGCACCACACTCTCCCAAGTGAGCCATGGGCTGGCCCTATTTTTATAAGTTTTGAAAGCTCCTGTTAATTATTATGTTAAGTCCTAAGATATAAAATATGTCTAATGTGCCTTTTTCTAAGATAGAATTGGTAGAGATAGTCCAGAGACTTAAAATAATAGAACGTTTCATCATATTAGATATAATTACTGCATTTAACTCCCCAATCTTAAAAATGAACTTATGTTTATACATTGTATCGACCATTACAAAAATGTGTCCTGCTCACAGTGGTTTATGGACTATCCAGTCATTCCATTAGCTTCTCTATTGCCACCTCCCACTGTAGATGCTCAAAAGGCAAATACTCTTTCCCCAGACTTCCCAGCACTGAATTCTGGCCCATGAGGTATAAATGAAAATCTGCTGGAGTAAAGGGTGTGTCTAAGGAAGCTTTAATTTGGGCTGGTGTGGCCCTTCCCCCTTCTCTTTTTTCTTGCCTCAAATGTGGATGCAACTTCTAGAGCTGGAGCTGCAGCAGCAATCTTGTAGCCAGGAAGAAGCAAGTGAGTCACACAAATGTTCTGATATTTTGAGCTGTGGACCCACCAGTATTAGCAATCACCTACCATGGACCAATTGTATGTAAGAAGAATGAACCCATATTTTTGAAAGTGTTGTAAGTGGTAATTCTGTTACTTGCTCCTGAAAGCAATATTTCTAATATTGCAGTGCTTCAATGTCATACTTCAAAAGGGCCAAAATATTGTGCCATATAAGCAACACTTCTACACTGTGAGAATTAAAAATTCTGTAAGTAGAGTTTGCCCCATTAGAATGTCAAACATTTATGGTCAAACTCTTTTAGTGCATCTAATTCTAAAAAGTGAGAGATTTTTTTATTAAGGAACCCTTTGGGCCAAAGTCATTAAAAATTCTATAACATTAGAGTATATAGAATAGAAGACAAATTGCTCATTAAAAGGCATTTCAAAATCATAAATCTTCCTTAAGAAAACGAGTCATCACCCAGCAAAATCACTATAGCTGCTTCTTGTCCGTCACATCTGTCCATTCATACTTTTATAAAATTGTCCATATACTACAAATTATTTTATGTTTTTTCACTAATCATTTTAGCATTATACTGTATTTCCCTGTCACTAGATTTTTTTTGAAAATGTGATTTTTATGCATAACATTCTATTGTCTGGTTATAGTTGAATTGTTTAGCTTTTCTTCTAAATTTTGAACATTTAAGATATCCTAGGGTCAGCACTGTTCATAAACTACTATGATTATTTCTTTGAAAGAAATTAATACAGGTGGAATTATTGAGACAAAAAGAACATGTTTAAGGCTATCAATTAACACTTCCATTTGCAATAAAGCAATAAGATTGATGTTTTTGTCCAAACCTTGATTACACTGGGTATTATCACACTTAAAACCTTTACTAGTTTCTAATAGATGAATAAACTTATACTTTGCAATTGCAAATTTTCCTTCTCTCACATATGCCACCTCTATCATTGTTTTGCAATCACTGAATTACTATCTACTTGCCAGAGTAAACTAATAATGAAAAGGAAGGGAAAAAACCCCACTCCTATCTAAGTCATAAATCCAATTTGTCCAAAGATGATGAGAAAGAAATGATCAGTGCCTAGAAATCACATCCTTAGTCTGAAGCTGCTTAACTTTTAATCATTCCACTGACTCACAAAAGACACATTGTGAAGCATGCATAATCGTTCATTGCTCTCCAGGCACAGTTCTCACTATCACCTAGGATAAATGTCTTGGCTAGCACAGAAAGAGAGAGCCAAGGTTCCAGCATTACATATGGACATGAAGGGACAGAGTGGGGCCCACAGGGGCCATCTCGATGTGCTGTTGATCCTTTTACAGGATGAGGTGCTTACGGCACAGGGATATTTCTCAAGGGACAGTGATGGCTCCTAACGAAGTTTGTTCTGGGTGACTGGCAATGAAAAATCCTGGATTTACTTAAGTTTGGTGCAAGTAATCTTGATCTGTTCTCAGTGCTGCTGTTTTGTTTGATCTCCCTCCATCAAAAGTCTTTTTAACAGCTTTATTAAGATATAATTCACCTACTACAAAATTCACCTATTTGAAGTTATGCAATTCAAGGGTTTTTATTATACTTACTGAGTTGTGTAAACATCACCACAATCCAATTTTAGAACATTGTCATCACCCTAAAAAGAAACCCCATATCCTTTAGCAATCACTCCCTTTCCCCCTTCCATCTCCAGCCCTAGGCAGCCACTAATCTACTTTGTCTCTTCCAAAGTCTTTTATAGTAAAATAATCTCCGGAATTTACTTTGATTTACCTCTCCTTGGCTGTTAGAAGATTAACATCACAGTAGCACAATGCAAAAAAATTAAAAAAAGATAAATCAACAGCAATAGTCTTGCTAAGTCTCCAAACACAGGGGGAACCAATTGGAAAATACAAGTGTGCTCTCAAACAAAGCCCTGACAGGATTCACTGCCAGTCTTTGCAAAGATGCACATGAGTTGGCATTGGCCGACCCTGGCCCTGTCTGACGATTGTTAAAACCAGACCTGCTCCTCTGAACTGTGTTCACAGTTGGTCTCTTTAGCAAACTTTCCTAATGGAAGGTTTCTACCAGTAATTAATCACAATTCTTGTCAAGCCAGAAGAGTGATTTCTATTGTAAACGTGGGACAGAGGGTGCCTGAATTGGAAATGACATTGACTGTTCAGTGAGGATGTGTTTCAATTCTGAAATGTTGTTCCCTGCTGTTGGGGACACTGCAGAGCAATTCTCCAGAAAATTCTTTAGATGTGTAAGTGTGAGAAAGTTACTGAAAAATGGGACATAAAACAAAGCCTCAAATACTGGGGAACAGCAAGTGAAGAAAATTTGCTCTGTGGTTGATAAACTTAATCCAAATAAACCTCTTCTTAGAAGCAGTCAAGCAGCAATGCTCGGATTGTCTGTGACAACAAACACATGAGTTAATTACCCCAGCTCAACACAGTCGGCTGTCAGAAAACTCCTTAAGCAGTCATTCTGTGGTGGGTTGTGAAAGATATTTTTACACTGTTTGTCATCTTTGCACCGTGCTAATCTCTTACTGGCTGATGACTCAATTTAATAGAATGTCCAATACCTTGTATTCATAAATCAGTCACAGCAGAACTGCCAGGAGAAGAGGAAGGGTGCTTGGGCCTATTATCTTTACAAATCCTCAAGTTTTTAATGTGATTCTGGGTGATTCCCTTGGAAACCACCAGATTTGATGAGACTAGCAAGTGGGCATGGCCTGGATAATAATTCCCTCTGTCTGGTGCCCAGGCTACCTGCTGTCCTATACATATAGCTCAGTTCTAAGTCATTTTAGTTGCTAGAATAACTTGAAGGACAAAGAGTGCTTCTGTGTGTTTGTCAGATGTAGGCTGAAGGTGTTGGACTGAGAAAATGGCTACATATAGATGGTAACATTCCTGACAGAAAGCAGGAAGGGAGGGATTTTCCCAGTTGGAAGGAGGGTTTGGGAGGCAGTAACTGGAAAGTGTCTTTCCTCTTCCCTCCCCTCCCACACTCTTAGATTTCTCACATGCCCTGTTACCAGGGTACTTTCCTCTGCCTTTTTTTCACTAAAACATGAATTCAAATTATGAAGAGGAGGAAGGAAAAGAAAACTAACATTTAGTTGATGTCTGTCCTTTGCTAGGGAATAAGCTAAGGTTTGCATAAATGATTTCATTTAATATCATACCAAATCTACAAAAAGAAAGAATGGTTCTGATTGTGCACACAAGGAAATAGGGGCTCAGGGGATGTAGCAACTTGCCCAAGTCACAGAGATATCAGGTGACAGGGCTGAGACGAGAACTCAGGAAGGACTGAGTCCACGGCTTCCACTACACCCTGCTGGCTGAGGGTTGAGTTTAAAAGCGTGCCTTTTCTTTTTTTTTTTTTTTTTTTTTTTTTTTTTTTTTTTTTTTGTCTTTTTTGTCTTTTTTCCGTGTCCGGCAACGGATCGCAACCCTCAGTGTTGCCCCCGTACCGGACCAAGGACCGGCAACGGGATTGCAAACCTCGGTGTTGCTCCCACGCCTCGCTCAGCCAGTGAGCAGTAGCCGGTCAGTATGTGGGATCCGAACCCTCGGGCGGGAGCGCTGCCGCGCTTCCCAAGCGGCGCACTATCCAGTGCACCACCGGGCCGGCCCCAAAAGCGTGCCTTTTCAACAACAGTCCATAGTTGGCAAGAATCCTAACCTGGAAGGTTCTTTTCTAAGGAAGTGCATTTGAGCTACTTTTTAGCTCTGGCAGTCTGTGAGCTCTGGAGTACACAGGCTGTCCTCACTTTGAGAATGGGTAGGTTCCAAAGCTCTGAATAAATTTCTCCATAGAAACAATAATATGTATGATGTCGGCTTCCTAGTCTAGTCTACAAAACTATTTTATTTATGAAATACTCAAAAACAGTATTAATAGTACCTTAGAACCTAACTACCATGTAATGATGTTTCTGTGGAAAAAGAAGTTACCTGTAATTCCAGAAACACATCTCTTATTTACAGTGGAAGGATTCTCCTAGATCTAAGGGGCTAGTAGTGGTTTCCACGCTTGGGCAGGGACGAGGGACCCCGGCAGAAGGGAGGATGTGAGGGAAGCCATTAGAACAAGGAGTTCAAAGAGCCCTCAGGTGGGGTAGGTGAAGGAGCTGGGCTGCAGACTCTAGGGTTGTAAGTCAGCTGAAGACCTGGGCAAGCGAGGGGCTCCAAGATGGGAGCTGCAGGCGGGGGCTGGTCATATCTCAGCCCGAAGCCATCCTCTTTCTCTTCTCTTTAATATGATCCGCTGTCTATTCTAGCCCAGCTTGCCTTTCTTCTCTTCAAGGTTTCCCCTTTTCTTTTTCTCTGAAGGCCCCATGTGACGGCCCGTTGACTTCATAATCCTGTAACATCCTGGAATGTCTTGCATCTGCCCTGCACCCTGCCGCCAGAGCAGTCTTTCTAAAATACAAATCTGACCATGTTCAAAATTTTTCAATGGCCCCCCTCTGGCCTATAGAATAAAGTCCTTCTTTGGGTGCAAAACAAGCTCTTCTAAAGCCTGCCCCCTACCTGCCTCTCCGCCCACCTCTCCCAGCGCCCCACACCACCCAGTTTCAGTTACCGCAGCAGGAAATGCTTGTCCGCTCCCAGCATGCACCGTGTTGTCACACCTCAGAAACTTGGCTCATGCTGTCCCCCTGCCTGAAATGCTCTTTCAGTCCTTCTTCTTTGTCAAATCTTGATATGCATCCTCCCCTGTGTTCCCCATGCAGACTTTTTTTTTTCATTGCAACATTATACTAAAGCCATTTACATGTCTGTCTCCCCCAGATCCACGAACCCCAAGCTTCTTCTGGGGAAGGGTCATGGCTCATGCACCTTTACATTCCAGCACCTACCATAGTTTCTAGAAGGAATTCAACACAATCAAGATATGTTCTGCTGGGCCGGCCCGGTAGCGCACTGCTACAGTGCGCCGCTTGGGAGTGCGGTAGCGCTCCCGCCGAGGGTTCGGATCCCACATACAGACCAGTTCCCGCTCACTGGCTGAGCGAGGTGCGGGTGCGACACTGAGGGTTGCGATCCGTTGCCGGACATGAAAAAAGACAAAAAAAAAAAAAAAAAAGGAAAAGGAACCAGCAGGGGATGATCTACTTTCTGAAACAGTGTGAGAAAGATAAGGAGAATGTTAGCTTTGCACTCAAGGAGCTTCAACTTCTGCTTTTCCGGTATTTGCAAGAGTTTTCCTGACACTAGGGGAAAAAGAAACAGTGGCCAGAGACTTTCTCCTAAAAATATGCAGGAAGGAAATGTGGAGGCCAAGAGAATTCCATGCAATGGGTGCCAGGCTTGCCTCAAAATAGGAGCTGAGGGCCAGCCCGTGGCTCACTTGGGAGAGCGTGGTGCTGACAACACTAAGTCAAGGGTTAAGATCCCCTTACCGGTCATCTTTAAAAAAAAAGAAAGAAAGAAAAAGGAAAAAAAGAAACAGAAGCTGATGACAGTGAGTTTTTGGTATTTTTCTTCCAAGGTTGTTTCAATATGCAAAGCAGGTCCTCAGCGGCAGCTGCCACTCCCTCAGCCACATTTCCTGAACTGGATAGGGGATTTTTTTTTTGCCGGGAAAAAAAAAAAAAAAAAAAAAAAAAAAAAAAAAAGAAATGTTCTGCTTAATTTCCCCTAAACTGCCTTAGAGCAGATGCCCTGATGGACCGAGGTGCTCGTCCCCAGCTGCTGGGACTGTCGTCTGCTGACGGTCCACAGTTGAGTCCCTCTCTAAGAACTGCCCTCAGCCAATTGCAGCTACTGTGCCTAGACTCGCAACCCTTCTCCAGGGGCAGTCTCTATCCAATGGCAGGTCCATGTGGGGAACAAATCCTGGTCCCTTGCCCTTGAAGGGCCGTCCTGACTTCGGAACCCTCAGAATCTTGGCCGAGGTTTCTGCTGCATCTGCACCACAGTTTGCCTTTTCCCTCTGCCGAGCTCTGCTCCCCTCACCCCCTCACAGGGGAGGTTCCTGAGGGTGGTCCTCAATAAACCTCCTGCACGCGAATCTTCGTTTCACTGTCTGTTTCTGGAGAACCCAACTCACCACAGGATTATTGCTTCCAACCAGGCCTTTCTCTGCTGTCCTGTAAGACAGAATGCATTTTCTAGCTTGATTTGACACTAGCTGCAAGTGCTCTTTCCTGAGGGGTTTGTATTGCTTGTAGCAAATGATTTGACACTAGCTGCAAGTGCTCTTTCCTGAGGGGTTTGTATTGCTTGTAGCAAACCCAAGTCTCCTTCCTGTGCTCCTTCATTTCTTCTTGAAAACATTCTTCTTTTGGCCCCCCAATTTTACTTATTAAGCCATATAGTCCCTATGGGAAAATATTTAAATGTGCAAAGATGCTAGTAATGGTGAATCTCATTATAGACAAAGAACTCAGTAAAGACTAGCCAACATTTCAGAGGAAAGCACAGTCATTGGCTAGCCTGAGTATTTTACTGCAGAAGCTGAGGTGAGATTAGGGCCAAGAAGAGTTCTCAGGGGACGTGGAGACAGTGGGCGGTGGCAGGGAACACGGAGCAGCATCAGGGACTTTCACTCACTCAATGCTACTTCCTCTTCTTTTAAGATATGAGGATGTACCTGGGACTCAGTTTAGAATAGGGGCCAGGATGGGGCATGGAAGCTTTTCTGAGGAAGTGATGTCTAAGCTGGGCATAAAAGGAGGATTATCACCTCTGCAAATGCAGACTCTTCCCTAAGATGACTCTAAAAGGAGGCGGAAATAGGCACTCCTGGCAGCAACAACTTCTAGAAAGAAGGGGTGGGAAGTTCCAGGGAGTAGAAGGGGCTAGAGGAAAGCAGTCCCTTAGGACTCTGGGCCACCCAGTTGTGGCAGCAGCTCAGTAATGACCATCTCTACTCCAAGGCTATAATTAAGGGGAATGAAAATCCAGGCCTGTCCGTGTTTTATCAAAATTAAAAGGTTACTTGGTAAAATGATGCTTTTATTACCTTAATGCCGCTTCTTTTCCTATGCTTTTTCCCTTTTTCCAGTTGAGACAGATAACTTTCAGAATTGCTACGACTAATTTTCATTTGGCTTCTTTGGCTTCTGTCTGAACTGAGTTGGGATTCACTTTCTACCCTTGACAGTATAGGTGGAAGCGTGACGCTGGATAAGGCCCCTTCGCTGGGCTGCACCTCGGTCAGCTGCACCAAGGCTTGTTGATGCTGCTCCATGATCTGAGTGAGCCGTGAATCTGGAGAAGCTCTAATAGGTTGGCTGTCCGAGGAAGGATGGAATTTCCTTATTGGAAAAAACAAAAACAAAAAACCCGCAAACTGTTAATAAAACCTGGATACATAAGACCTCTGGGATAAGTCTTTATGAACCATTAATTTGATGTATTTGTTACGCAAGTTAATGACCTTTAGCTTAATCTTTTCATGAATACATTAATTTCCTATCTTAAATTCCTCCTCTTTTTTCTTTAGGATATGCTAACTCTTATTTAAAACTTTCATTTAGTGAAATCAAAAGTGAAAAAACACCATTTTGAAAAGTCAAAGAACTTTCTACTATAAAACATCTAGAAATGTTGGGTTAAATTAAACATCCTTTAAATACACAGTTGAATTTGTAAGAGAGGCAGAACATCTTGAAGGACCAAAAACAAAAAAGGAACTAAAACCAAAGCCAATCTTGGATTAGCTAAGCTATGCCTTTCTTTGTGGGAGTTTTGGGTCTAAGGGTTTGAGTTTTAACAGTTAACACTTGTACCGGTAATGCGAGATCTTGGCTCCATGTGAGGCAGGGAATCAGAACTGAGATCCCTGCATAAAGACTGTAACTCTTGAAGGGCTACATCCTCAATAGAATGGTGGATTAGTTAAGAACACATTTGCCAGCTTTAGGAAACAACAAAGCAGGCTTATCTGTCTTGATCTGGGCTATGAATAGAGAAAAAACTCCTGTTAGTTACTATGGGACAATATTTGGATTTTTTTTTTTTGTGGCTGGCCAGTATTGGGGATCCAAACCCTTGACCTTGGTGTTACAAGGCTGTGCTCTAACCAACTAAGCCAACCAGCCAGCCCTATGTATGGAACAATATTTGGGATTCAAATTTGCCTTACCTGTATAATCATGGAAATTCAACACCAAGAAATGAGCATAACAATGTCCCTGGATGAGGGATACTTCTGTACCATCTGGCAGAAGCAAATATAAAACTTCTCTAGAGGGATACACTCCCACTCAAGCTTGCCCAGGTTTCCATAGACAAGATGGCTAAACATAAGTCCACAATCCAAAATAATAACATATAAGAGGAAATAGTCTACTAAGTATGACATGCAGCAGACATACATGCACACACACAGAAAAATAGTGGTAACAGACTTCCAAGAACTTCAGATAATAGATTATTAGATATCATTCATAAAGTATGTTTAAAATAAAGACAGGAAAGAGAAAATCAAAATCCTGACAAACATATTTTGAAAAAAGAACAGAGAGGTTTTACTCAGAATCAAATAGAAAGTCTAGACATACATAAAAAAATACCATTGTTGAAATTTAAAACTCATTAACAGATACATTAAAGAGCAGATTGGACACAGCCAAGGAGAGAATTATTGCACTGGAAAACTTATCTGAGGAAATTTCTCAGAAAAATACAGAGAAATAATGATGTAAAATAAGAAACAAAGTTAAAAATTCACAGAATAAGAGAATCTAATACACATCTACTGGGCATTCCTGGAGGAGAAAATAGAACAAATTTGGATGACATGATATTCAAAGTGAAAATGGGTGATAATTTTTCAGAATTTATGAAAGAGATGAATCCTCAGATTTAGAAATTACAGAAATCTCAAGCAGAATTTAAAATTTCATATCTAGACACATCCCAGTGAAACTTCAGAACACCAAAAACAAGAGAGAAATTAAAAAACCCAAATGAGAAAAAAAGATAAAAACAAAAGAAGTGATGATTATATTGACAAAAGACTTTACAAAGCAACACAGAAAAGAGGAGACAGAAAAATAATGTTTTCAAAGAGTTGAATTCTTTACCAGGTTAAGCTATAATTCAAGCTAGAAAGCAAAATAAAGGAATTTTTAGGTAAATTTACCAGTGACATACACTTGCTACAGGAATTTCCAAAAGATCTGCTCCAGGAAGAAAAAGTAAAATGGAAGAAAGAATGTGAGGCAAAGATGTTAATAAATAATTGGTTAAATCTAAAGCAGCATTAACTCTATTCAACAATAATAAAAGCAATGACTAATTTTGGAGATATAAGGTGCTAAGCAAGATGTTGGACAAGGCAATATGTATTACAAAGAGAGGTGATTGGCCTAAAATAATCTAATGATTTTGAACATGTTCTGGAGGGAAGTAAAAATATTAACACTAAACTAGTTAAGTGTGTAAGTTTTTTAAAAAAAGAATAGAAAGAGAATGAATCTGACTATATATCAAACTGATATTTTCATCTGGAAAAAAATAATTCAAGAAGTAACCTTGGGTGAGTGTAGCTTCATTGTACACCCTTAGGAGGATATAGGAGAAGAAGGGCGGGCAAGGAAATCTTGAACTTTGCTTGGAATGATTGTTTTGGTAGTTGCGTTGGTATCATAATCCTCAAATGGACTGTCATGTGTGTAGCAGAAGAGAACAAATGAGTAAACATATTGATGTTTTAGGGAACTAGGCTTTTCACTGTGGGAAAAAGGAAATGCAAATGTGGAATAGGAGAAGCATGACGAAGAAGCCAGTGGTGTTGGATTTCAGGTGTCTGTGTGACCCCATTAGTGCACAGATACAGGCATAGGTATAGGTACGGGTATTTCCTATCTCTGATGAGCAGGTCTAGATGCAATGACACTCCAGATCACAGACAGCTCTCAAGTCTTGGTTTCTAAATTCCATTCCCCACTAAAAAGAATCAGGGCTCCTTGGAAAAATGACTGCTTCCACATGTGTTCAGGGAAAGTCCAAGGTGAGCCTACAATATATTGCTATGCCAGAAAGACAAGAAGTAGGAAAGACAAGAGGTGTTATGTCAAAAGGACACAGGACGTGAAGTGAAGAAGTTCCCACTGCTCAAGCCCAATATGATTAGAAAATGTTAAATATAGTGATGGTAATAAACTTTAACATATTTTTTTAAAAAGAGAACCATTTAATCCATAGTGATACTAAAAGGAGAGAGAGAAAAAGAAAGAGGAGAAAGAAATTGAAAAGGTCTTATGTCAACAGAGTGCCATATAATAAATATAGAAGTACTGATAGAATAATAAAATCACCATTTTGCAACCCCCAATGTAACGAATGGTTTATGTAAGGACTGTCAGTGGTTGCAGAAAAAGTTGTTGAGAAATAGGATGTTTACACTGTTTCAAATATTAATTATTAATTATTAAGGGAAAACATACCTTTACAATGGAGAGATCTGGTAGTCACCACCTTAATCAAGAGGTCTAACTTAGCATTACCCATACCATGACGACCTGACAGTATGTACCTCCTGAGATAATGCAATAAAAACCACACCAAGTCACCTAAGCAGTATTCTTGCCAAAAATGTTTAACCTAAATGTAACTATGAGAAAACAATGACCAAAATAGACATGGTTACCGAAAACAATAAAAAGCGAGGGTTGGAAAATTTGTTTTGGATTTTTAAAAAAATTAAAGAGACACAAAAAGCAAATGTAATGCATGAATGTTGATTGGATTCTGGATCAGGAGAATAAAAACCCAGCAACAAAAGTCATTTTTGGAACAACTAAGAAAATTTAAATATGTACTGATATTGCATGATATTACTGAATGTTAATTTTCTTAGATGTGATAATGGTGTGATTGTTGTATAGGAGAATGTCCTTATTTTTAGGAGATCCATGTTGAAATATTTAGGGATAAAGTGTTGTGATGTCTGAACTTGGTTTAAAATGGTTCAGTAGATAGATAGATAATAGATAAATGACAAATAGCAAGCAAATGTGGCAAAAGCAAGCAACTGGTGAATCTAGATGAAGGACTACAGGTGTTCATTGTAGATCTTCCCCCAAGTTTTTACTAGGTGTGAACATTTTCAAAATAAAAAGGAGGTAGAAAAAACACACCAGAATAAACATATATAACTTAACTCCCAAATCCAAATTAAAATGATATATAAAGGGATTTTAAAAAGTCATAAACCCATAAAGATAAGAACAAAAGTGGGGTTGAGGGGGAACAAAAATTTTGGAAGCAGAAAACAGATGGTTGAGTAGTAACTGTCTTAGCAGACTCAAAAAAGTGGAACTCTAAGTTAACAGCAGGTAAAGCTGAGAAGCAATGCAATTTACACCATAGAATCCTTAAAAGGCTCATAAACTATAAGTGGAGGTGGGGGCGGTGAAAGCTTATGTGAGAGTAACTTATATAAGAAGAATTAGCTGAAAGTCTTGTAAGAAGCTGGCAAATCTCCAGATCTTCTAAGGCATTTTGTGCAGACAGGCAACTGTCCCCTCCCCATCTCCATAGCCCACTGGAAGTTTGCCTTCTGAAGAAGAAAAAATGAGTCTCTTGCCTGTAAAGCACCAGGTATAGATAATAAATCTGAGCACCCAAGATAAAAGACTGTAAACTGACGGGAGGGGCTTCCCATCAGACGGCCCATACAGATCATTCTACAGAAACCCAGAGTCAACAAGTGCGGTCACTCAGAGCTTCCAATAAGCTTTTTAGTCCCTCACACTTAATCAAGAGCAGACAATCAAGAGCTGTCAGACATCTGAGACAAGCTCTAATGTGGATGATAGCAAAACAGGTGAAGGGAAACAAACCAACATCATCATCAACAAAAACTTGGAGGAAAGAGGAACTAAGCAGGGAATTAAAAACACTTAAAAATTCTGTCACCAGGATCCTCATGCTCCAATTTGTCTTGTTGAGAAATGATGCCGCATCCATGAACAAAAATATGAGGCTATTAAAAAATGAACTTTCGGGCCGGCCCGTGGCTCACTCGGGAGAGTGCGGTGCTGATAACACCAAGGCCCCGGGTTCGGATCCCAGATGGGGATGGCCGGTTCGCTCGCTGGCTGAGCGTGGTGTTGACAACACCAAGTCAAGGGTTAAGATCCCCTTACCGGTCATCTTTAAAAAAAAAAAAAAAATGAACTTTCAGAAAACAATAAAAGAAACAAAATATGCTCTTAAAAATTAAAAAAAAAAACAACCCCACATGATAGCATAGAAAGTTTGGAAGCCAGAATTAAGAAACCCTCCCAGAAAGTAGAACAAAATTACAAAGAAATGAAGAACAAGAGAGAAAAGAAAATTGTTAAGAATGGTGCTGGAAGAACACATCTGAATAACAAGAGTTTCCAGAAAGAGCAAATGGTTGGAAGGAATTACCCATGAGATGACTAAAGAAATTTTCCCAGAACTTAACGACACAACTTTCCAGTTTAAAAGGGTCCAGCACAATCTATGAAAATAGACCTACACCAAAGCACTTTATTATAAAATTTCATTTTATCAGTGAAAAAGATCCTACAGCTCCCAGAGGAAAAATAAATATGTCATGTACAAAGGATCTGGAATAAGGTGGCTTGAGTTTTCTCAACAGCGACACTGGAAGCAAAAAGACAATTCTGAGAGAAAACGATTTCCGATCTAGAAATCTACAGTACTCTTGCAAGGTATCAATGGGGTGGGGGCAGAATAAGGACAGTTTCAATCATGCAAGATTCTCAAAACATTTACCTTCCAAGCAACGGAGGATGTTTTCTACCAAAATGAGAGAGGAAACTGAGAAGAGGAAAGACGGGATGGAGAAAACAGGAGGGTCAGTGAAAGAGAAAAGCAAAGGGAATCTCCAAGATAAAATGAAGAGAAGTTTTGCAAGGATAATATCTCCCTATTTACCAAAAACTAAATATTGTTTTTAGTGGTAAAAATGTTTGAAGCAATCCCTCCAAAGTCAGGATAAAAAAGACAAGGATGCTTGCTATCGATTACTGTCTCTTAAAGGCCATCGGATCAATTCATATGTGTAAAATTGAAAATTCCTTGAAGATGCCCCATCTATCATATATCTTTTGTACGTTCTACAGCATTTTAGCATTATATTCAGCACATCAGGTGCATAGAAAACACGTTTGATTGGATAACTTCAAAAATATTTCCTGAAGTGACTTTTAAAATAACTTTCTTTTTCCTGATTATGAAAATAACACATCTACATTGTAGGCAACTTGAACAGTTCAGAAAATGTAAAGAATAAATTAAAATTAATCTCAATCTCTCTTGCCAGAGATAAATGCTATCGTCATTTTGGTGTATTTTTCTTCTGTGCACATTTTAACACAGTAGAGCTCATACTCCTCAGGTGTAATTTTGTACCTACTGTTTTCTTTTTATAGAAGCATTTCCTTATAACCATAATTTTTAGTGGTTACATGATACTAGGTATCATAATTTACAAAAACATTTTCCTGCTGGATTTTTAGGTCATTTCTATAAATGACACATATTTTTCTGTGTTTTAGATTATTTTCTTAGGATAGGCAATTGCAATGTTGGAGGTAATTTCTTTCTTTCAAATATTACTTTGCAACCCTCGAAACACCCTGATCTTTTTTTGACTGGGTCCCTCTGTCCTTCTCCCTCCCTCCAACTTCTAGTTTAACTACAGTGGAAAAAAAGTAGGGGAGAAAGGGAAGAGGAAAAGGAAAAGAAATACATCAAAAGTGGACTATTTTAGGAGGGAACCAGAGCTAAGGAAGTTGTTAGGTGCATTTTCCCTCCCCCCTGACCATCCTTGCAGAACCCCCTTCCTCTCCTGTCTTTCTCCATCAGTCACTCATTTTTCTTCTGGAAAACCACTTGAGAAAAGGGAATTCTTACCATAACATTTCTAAGTTCTTGTATTTTGTCTCTGTATAAGGCTGTTTTGGGTGTTTCTTATTTTCAGGTGATCCATAAACACTTATGTCATAAACAGGCTGAGAGCCCTTCTGGCTCAGGAGCATGTGTGTCTTAGAAAATTCATTAAGGCTGTTCAAGTCCACGTTAGAAAGAGTGTTGATGTGTAGCTGCTGGTAGGAAAATCTTTTTTCTTCTTGGTCTTTGAGTCCTTTTTCTTTATTAACATTCAGCACTGAGTGATATCCAGTAGAGTTTTTATACAGTACCTTGTCAAAAGCCTGTTTTGGTGGAGCAAATGTATCGGAGGTTACTTTAGGATTCTGGCTCCTAAGTGCACCTGAGTCTTGTAAATTGTTGTTAGTGGCATTCATAGTCACGATTGATTCATGCTTTATTGAAGTATCAACAGGCTTATTTTGGTTTTGTTGCTGTCTGGGAGTGTTGTTCTCGTTTCCTTGACTAACAACTAGCTCTTCAGTCATGGAAGACTTCAGACCATTCTGGCGTTTATGCCGTTTTCGAATCTTGGGCTTGGCTGGTCTTCTGGAAGGTTTCTGGCCATTAGCTATTTCAGAAGATTGACCTCTTGGTACATTGCTCGATTTTGTACTTTCATACTGAGACAAGTGTTCCTGGTAATTCTAAAAAAATAGTTCGGTTAATGTAAATTTAGAAGATTGGCACTCCTCACAAAATTTAGATTAGGGTTTTTCAAACTGGGGGTTGAGATTTCTAGGAAGGTAACTATGGGATTGAAAGCAGATAAAGAATACAGAGGATCCTTTCCTAATTTCAGGCAATTGGAGGGTGAATAGTAGAGTGATTCCTCTTGTAAATTTTAGATTATGAGCCTAGAAAGAAATAGAGAGCTTAGAATAGGCCTTATATTAAGGACAAGTCTTTGAGTTAAAAGCTGTAAAGTGAAGTGTTGCCAAGTTGGGGGTTGGGTGGGGAGGGGGCGAAGCTTCACCTCTAGAGGGATGCATAGAAAGTAAGTACAAATGCAAATCTATATCAAATTATGCAAGCTTATTTTAACTAAGATGAACCTTTTTAAAAATCATAACCAGAAAACATCAATAATTTGTTTTACCAACCAAGTACAGGTTTAATATGAAATACAATTCAGATTATCAGATCTTCTTACTCATGCAGGTCAGAAGCTAGGAATGACTTCTTCACCAGATGAAACAAATTAGATTTTATTCGGAGGGTTATAAAAGAGTCTGTGCTGTGATAGGACATCTGTGAGACCACAAGGGTTGTTTTGCTTCTGTTCCTTAATATAGCCTGTACTTAGGCAATCAAACATCTGGGGGAAATATTCCAATTTCAGAACAGTCTTTATGCTTTTCAAAGACTCCTAACAACAAAATGTACCTCTGGTATAATAGATACACTATGTAACCATATTGTGCTATAGCCATTTAGAAATATTTTCCAAGGAATAAAGCACTCATTACTTTGTGAAAAACTAGTGGAGTTAAGAGACCTTTGCAAAGAATGATTAAATGCTTATTGAATACAGTAAGATGACCATATGTACCACTGTGTTATACAACTGCAACATATCTCTCCCTTTTGAACACACATATAAAAACATCTCTGTGGCCTGTATGTACGCAACATTAATCGAAAAAATGTAACAGTTACCTGGATCATCTTGTAGTGAATAAATCATGGTTTTGCTCAAATGGTTTGTTTTAGCTTGCTAAGAAAAAGGATCAAAATCATTGTGATATGAGTTTGGCTTTTATTTCACTTTTCTGATAACAATCGCTAAGACTCATCCTATTTCTGTATAATGTTAAGTGATATCCTGTTTCTAATGAAATCACACTATAAGGTTAAGGGTGAGATTGTTAAATTTAAAACAGTAAATACAATATTACTGTATCAAATTTTTAAAGTAAGAATGACTTCTAATTTGAAATTTAGAGTATGTTCTCCTTGGAATTTGAGCTTTCTAAGGAGGTTGGCTAGGCTCTGATTAGCTCCTACAAACTTAAAATTTTTACCTGCAGTACTCCAAAAAAAGAAAAAACTCCCTTCTCTATTCCAGGTAAGAAAAGGTTCTCTCTTCCATGTCGTATGTTGAGCTGCATGGGGGAAATGTGGGCAAGAAGGCTTGCAAATATATAGCCCCAAGAGCTTCCTTCCTTGCAGAGTGGATCCAGAAAAAGAAATGCTATTTACAATCTTACAGGTATGTTCATGAAACACAATGGCTCTTTTCATGACTGTCATCACCATTTGTGAAAGTCAAAAAAGCCCCCCTTTGCTGTGATCTACAAATCTTAATTGATGCTGATAATGTCATTTTTCTCAATATTTGTTTCGCCTTTAACTCACTAGACAAATAAGAGACAAAGAACTCTTTCTGTTGCCATCTGACTGCCCTTTTCCCAGTTTTCTCTCCTCATTCCCAGCAAAAGGGGGGAAAAATGCCTATCAGAAATTTCTTTTCTTGGGTACCAGATCCGAAATCCTGGGTTACCACTTGATTTTAATCATGTTATTACCTTTGCTGCTAACAATTCAGTGACAATTCAGATCACAATAGTACTCTTCACAGGGTGCTTTGTCAGCACAGGCCAAGGACTCATCATTTTAAACTTGGATTGTCTCAAGTGTTAAATATGCTATTCACGTAAATCTAAGTACCCAGAGATGGCATTCCAGTCTCAGGAAAGAAAGACATTTATGGGCTTGATGTGATTTCTCTCACCTTTTAAGCAGCCTACTTGAGATCTGTGGTTTACTGAAGATTTATTGCCCTACAATTGAGGCATCAGGTGTCACTCTTTAGGTGGCAAGACCTGAGTTCCCTGAAGTTCATATACAAAGTCATTCTCAGGCTATTTAATCTCCATCAGCACTGAAATCCTCTACTTCATCCTGCTCTCACTGGGGTTCTTTTGTTACCAACACTTGCAGTCAGTATATACTACATGCACTCAGAATAACTGCTTAATGGCAGTAGGTTTTAACATCATGCACAGAGCATTAGCATTGGGGAATCCCGATGTCTAATGCTGGGATGATACCTGTTGGTAAGATCCACTCCACCCTTAGTCATTAATGTTCATTCATACTGCACCACCCAAGGGAAGTTTGTCCCCAACCCTGTGAAAGGCAGCACCTGGCTGTTTCTCTTTTACGGCTTTCCTATTTACATGTCATAAGCAGAAGGGAGAATGCTGGCTCTGATCTCAACCCCAAAATTCATCTGCTTTAACCCAAAAGCCACTCTTGCTCTCATCCTGACTCAACCCTGGAGTCCTGAGAGTTGTGCCTGAGCTCCAAGATCAGCTCTGATGAAAAGAAGTTTCTGAGTGCTCCATTTTTCTGCTGTTGACTAACAATAAAACATCAATACTCTGAGCTTGGGTTATAAATTCCATCTGTTAATATTAAGAAATTTTCCAGCACAGATATTAATTGGCTTTAATTTTCACTGGCGGTAAGGAAGAACTCTGTGTTCAGATGACTAGAAGCACAGACTATTCAAAGTGTTGGAGGCAAAACCAAATTAACAGTTCTTTGGAAAAGTGGGAAGATTACTTAGGATGTGATTACAAGGACTTTGACCTTAATTAGTGAAATGTTGTACACATCTTTCATATTATCATTACCTTTTCCTTGCCTGAAAAGTCAAGAGTTATTTTAAAGTATAAGAAAGAAAACATCCTATTTCATCCTTTGAAGTCTTACTTAATTGGAGAAATTTCTGTTTTTTCTACTGACAACATGCTCCTTGCCTGGTGCTATGATTTGAATGTTTGTGTCCCCCCCACCCCCAATTCATACGTTATATCCTAAGCCCCTAGGCAATGGTATTAAAAAGTGGGACCTTTTGGGATGTGATTAGGTCATGATGGCAGAGCCCTCCTGAATGGGATTACCGGCCTTACAAAATACACCCAGGGAGCTCTTTTGTCCCCTTCCACCATGTGAGGACACAGTGAGAAGGTGGAGAAGGTCTATGAACCAGGAAGCAGGATGTCACCAGACATAGAAACTGCCAGTGTCTTGACCTTGGACTTCCCAGCCTCCAGTACTATGAGAAAATTAATTTCCGTTGTTTATAAGCTACCCAGGCAATGGTATTTTGTTACAGCAGCCTGAACGAACTAAGACACCAGGGAAGGATCTTCTGCCAGTGAAAGCACACTCCTCACACTGCCCAGTAAGGGTCCTGAGCCAAATCCTGTGTTCAGTCGGGCATGCAACGGAAGTTGGATTTGGAAAACCCCTGAAGATTCACAGAACAGCACAAAATGATTCAGGACAATAAGACCTATGTGGAAAGGTTAAATGAATAGAGATTACTTAGCTGAAGTAAAAATCTTAGGCATGTACTCGTATGAGTCTTATGTAGAAAATGAAGATGACCGTCCATTCTCAGCATTTTTAAAGTGAAAATACATAGGCTTAAATGGTACATCTTTTCTCTTTTCTCGCTCTATCTTTAGTTTCTCATTCTTTCTAGCATGTAAATGTGTTTAAGTCTCTTCTATGAAAAAAATGAAACTCTCACTTGATCCCATTCTCTGGTTAAACCCTGTCTCTCTGCCAGTTCCCAGCCCAGTGTCTTGACAGTGTAGGCTGCACGGGTCTCCATTCCCCAAATCTCATTCTGACCTCTGCACCCTGCAGCAGAGCGTTCATTCTTAGCACCCCATGAAACTGCTCAGCTCAGGCCAACCTCTTAGTAGCTATATTCCTATGGGCACTTTTTTCTTCACCTTTTTATTTTGAAGTTATTTCAAACTTACAGAAAAATTGAAAATTCCAAGTGTAGTACAGAGAACTCTCAAATATCCTTACCCAGATTCACCAATTTTTAACATTTTGCCACATTCCATCATTCTCTGTATATATCTCTCTCTGTCACTCCATACATAGGTAAACACACAAAGTTATGAATATATATACATATAATTTATATTATTATTGTTTGTATTATGGTTATTTAGTTTTTCTGAACCATTTGAGCCTTGCATATGTGAGTTGCATAGATGATGTCCCTTTCATGGCACCTTTTTACTTGTATTCTTTGTAGTGCTTTACTCTGTCCACTAACTCTTCTTTCTTGGAATTTTCATGTCTCAGGTTCCATGACATTATTTTATCCTGGTTAGCTTTCTACCTCTCTGGCAATCTCTTCTTAGTCTCTTACCTTCTGCCCTCTGCTTTTACTTTGGCCCACCTTTAAAATTCTACCACTCTCTGCAGGGTCCTGTTCCTGACCCTATTCTCTTCTCCCACTCCCCACAATTCTTGGGTCATCTCAGCAATTTCTGCAGCTTTTCAATCCATCAGGAAGTGCTTATGATACAAATGGACATGGTTAACTTAGACGTCTCTCCTGAGTTCTATGCCCAGTAAGGTGTCCTCTTTCCTATAGGCACCTCCAAACTCAATACGAAGCCCACCTGTCCCCATGTCTGTCCCCCTTTCATCCCCAGAACCAAAAGCCTCCTTTTCTTCTCAGTGGTATTGGTACCACTAATTAGACACTTAGAAACCATTCTCTCCCCACCCCCCACCTTCTATTAAGCAATTGCTGAGTCTGTTGACTCCTCTTCCTAACTATCTCTGTACAGGGGCTGAGGGGGATCAGATGCTGTCTGGACCCACAAGAAGTTTAATCCAGCCAGTGGAGTAAGACATATGCACCCTAATGAAAAGTTAACTACTGGTACACGGAGTGTGTGACAATACAGAGCAAGTGCTGCCACCATTCCAGTCTCCCACCATTTTTTGCAGAAACCACAGCAAACATCACTTTACTGGTTTTGCCGTCTCTCTAGTCTTATTCCCTTCCAATCTATTCCTCAGACCCCAGACAGAGTGATGTTTCTAACATGCAGGCCTTATTATGTCATTAAACTGCTCAAAATTTGCCAATGGCTTCCTCCTGTCCACAGGACAAAATCTAAAAATCTTTGATGGACATAAGAGACTCTTCACAATCCTGCCCCTACCCAGCCTGTCCAGCTGCATGTCATACCACGCTCCTCCCTGGCACTGTCCGCTTCAGTTACTGAACCACCCATAGTCCTCAGCACATGTCACACTCTCTCCTGCTTCCAGACCTTTGCCCCCACTTGTCTGCTTGGTACCCTTGATTCTTCCTTCTAGGCTCAGCTTGGATGCTGTCTTTTCTGGGGAGGCTTTCTCTGTCTCCTTGGGGCAGAATTAGGTACTCTTTTAGTTCCACTGCATTTTGTACCCACTTCCACATTATTGCATCATAATGATTACAGAAGTGTATTCCCACTAAAATTTTGAACTCCTAGAGGGAAGGGGCAATTAAAAAAAATCTTTCCTTAAGTTTTATCTATTTTTTGAAGAGTTTTTTTCTCTCTCTCTTGTTTATTTGTTTGTTTCTTTTAACCATATCTTTTGGACCAGGCACCTAACTTGCGATGCCTGAAATATAGCAGACATTCAATAAATATTTGCTGTGTGAATTATTTTGATTTTGTATAAGGATATTGTTTATTAGTGAGAGTTACTGTTAGGGTAGGTTTACTGAGGGATCTGCAGATTCTTTGAAAGTCATCTTTCGAGAAGAAAATTTCAGATAAGGCCCATTTTCACTTGAAGATGCACTAGATGATTTTTAAATGTTTCTCTAATCAGTGAGTAAATATTTATTGAGCATCGGCTTTGGGTAAAGCATTGTGGTAGGGGATGTAGAGAAAAATACAATCCTAACCTTTAAGAAGCTTCTAGTGTAGTTGGTACAAAAGAAACACAGGCAGCTGCTAATGAGACAGGGCCAACTGTGATAAGCCCTGAGTGAGTGGTCCAGCCACAAGACACACAGGAGCAGAGATGAGGCAGGGGAGGGGCTGGAGAGGCTGGGAAATCTTCACACAAGAGGTGGCAGCTGAGTGGGGACCAAACAGAGCCATCAAACTTGGGTAACTGAAGAGGAAACAGAAAAGCAGCCTGGAGTGTGTGTATGGCGAGAACCTGGCCAGTGTGTAAAATGCAGCAGGCAGCTAAAAGTCCTTTCTAAATAAAGAAAGGGAACCATCCCTGGGCCACCCCGCATTGCTGTCTTTTGAGGTCTAACAATCTTTAGATGTTTTGCTCGACTTTGTCTTCATTCAGGAGTGGGTTATGCTAATTATAGTACACAATGAGAATAAAAAGCATTCTTTTGGCTTTCCTTTGATTTTCTTCCATACAAAGTTTTTACTGCCTTTGTCTAGGGTCATGCCATGAATCAAGCACTGTGATTTTACCTTGATTATTTTATCAAAGGCTGAGAATCCTACCATTTTTCTTACAGACAATTATAAAAGGTGTATGTTGCAATAATCTTATATGCCTCAAATGTGTTTTTGGTAATGCAAATATTTAGAAATAAGTGGTCCCAGAATTAAACCATTTTGCAGCTGGGATGGACCTTAAAAGTGATTTAAGCCAATTCTTCATTTAATGAAGAAGAAACTTAAGGCTTGGGGAAGCCGAGATTTGCCCCAAATCATGCATCAAGTAAATGGCAGGTCGCAGCCCAGAAATTGATGTTTTCTGACCCAGTCCACCAGCCATAATGTATGACAAGCCTTAAAGTGTTTCCTTTGTCCTCTGGATCCTGTTGGTCAGCCTCCCCGGTCTCTGTCAGGTCTGGGAGTAGATACTGTCCTCTACATCCCACTGACAGGAGACATTCTAGTCCCCATCCTCGCAACTTCTGGGTGTGGGCTCCCTGGCATCAGCTTTCAGGAAGCTGTGGGAGAATAACTGTTTTTATCTCTTTTTTTTTTGCAACCCTAAGAGCAGCCTGGAGACCAGTGAGGAAGAAAAAAAATGATTTGGGGAGGCCGGCCCGGTGGTGCACTGCTACAGTGCGCCACTTGGGAGTGCGGCGGCGCTCCCGCCGAGGGTTCGGATCCCACATACAGACCGGACGCTCACTGGCTGAGCGAGGTGCGGGCACAACACTGAGGGTTGCGATCCATTGCCGGTCACAAAAAAAAGACAAAAAGGAAAAAAAAAATGATTTGGAATGTCCCTCTCTTCTAACTTCTCTGAAGCTGGGATGAACTTTATTATTTTTATTATTACATTTACCACTGTAATAATGATGTCAACAGGCTCCATAAGCTTTGTGACTTGAAAGGGCTCATTCCTTCTTAATCAGAGATAAAACCTGGTACAAGAGTGACTCCATATAACTCCATACATTGATTGAAGAAGAAAAAAAAAAAAAGAAAAAAAGAAACAGCTGCTAGTGCTTTTTCTGTTTCTTTTAGATAAAGTCAGTGGAGACAATTTTAGAAAAATCTTCCCTGAAATCACATTTATGATTTCAAAACACTAAACTCATGGTCAAAAAGGATATCATTATGCTAAATTACAGCGGGTAAGCTTTTCCATTCTGCAAATGAGGGTTTGGTGAGGCTCTCGGTATTCCCATCTGTTTTTAGGGATAGTGTCTTCATCACCTAGAGATAATATGTAATGCCAGCTCCAAAAGGAAACAGACTCGGGTGCAGCACAGATTAGACAATACTGTGGAACTGTGATTTTTTTCTGCGTTTTTTCCATGCCTTCCTTTTGTGAGGGGTTCTAACTCTGTATGTTTAAAGCGTGATCTGATAAATTTTCGTATAGAAAATAGAACCTTTGGAAAAACAGGTAGGGCTGGCTGGCTGGGCAAGCAGTGTCTCACCTGGGCAGGAAGCAGCCTTACCCATAGGAGGATGAATAATATTCTCAGGCATAAAAATAAACCCTTCGGTGATAAGAACTCAGTCACAAACCCTACTCATATTCAGCAGTACTGCTTGAGACACACTTAAAAAGCAATCTAGCAGGTGACCTTTAGCTGTTGTGCTCTTTGACGCCATTTGTCTTCAGGATCGATGACAGCATTTTCAATCTCTTTGGCATTCTGAATAGATGTCTTGTCAGTTACTGTGACAGGGTAGGAGATCTAAGAGGGTAAAACATACATAGCATGTTAACTAGATTCATCTTAGTCTTAGAGCCATAAGGCTCAGGCCAATGTACTCTAAAAAGAGGTCCTTCAGGGCTAGGTCTTACTTTCAGTTAATTTCAAAGCTTTATCTCTTCAGTCTTCAGAGAACCAGATTGTTCCCAAAAGAAATGGGAATAAACAATATTTTCCCTTGCAGACATAAAAGGAGAATTGGTGTTTTGAGGCCAAACTACTACTTACTTAAAATCCTTGATACATATTAAGGGACCCAATTTTAGAACAGTGATCTGAGCTGAATGTTATAAGCTATGTGTGATCATGCAAATAGAAATGTGATGAAATAGCACTATCCTCCAAGATGATGAGAACAACAGAAATAAGAATATTTGATATACACTGAATGGTTATTGTGTGTCAGTAGCTGTCCTAAGCCCTTAGCGTATAATGTGCTCTTCACAACAACATTATCAGGTGTGTATTATGATCATCCCTTTTTTTTTTCAGATGAGAAAAGTTAGGTGCAGAGAGGTTAAGTAACCTGCTCAGGATCAACAGCTAGTAAGTAGAGGAGCAAGGTAGTCTAATGCCAAAGCCTGTACATTTAAGAGTTTTGCTAAGCCAACTCACTTATTAGAAATATCATCCTAGACCTGCAGAATTTGTAGTTTTGGTACTCAGTGAATTTGAATAATGTAGATCAGTGGTTCTCAACTTTAGTTAGATACTAGAAAAACTTAGGAAGCTTTCTAAAAAATACTAATGCCCTGGTCTGACCCCGAACCAATTAAACCAGAAGCTCAGGGGGTGGTCCTCGATGGTAGCATATTTTAAAATCTCCCTATTATTAAAAAATAGAATGAAAAAACAAAAAGCTCTCTAGTTGGGTCTAATCTGCAGCCAGGTTGGGGAACCACTGATGAAAGCAGCTACATGGGCTCTAGGTCTCTGCATTTTTCAAGGGCCCTTCCTTGCCTCCACTGGCTACCTGTTTTAAATCAAGAAATTAGGGCCGGCCCGGTGGTGCACTGCTACAGTGCGCTGCTTGGGAAGCGCGACGGCGCTCCCGCTGAGGGTTCGGATCCCACATACAGACCGGTTCCCGCTCACTGGCTGAGTGAGGAGCGGGGGCAACACCGAGGGTTGCGATCCCGTGCCGGTCCCGGTCCGGTACGGGCGTGACACTGAGGGTTGAGATCCGTTGCCGGACACGAAAAAAGACAAAAAAAAAAAAAGAAAAGAAAAAAAGAAATTAGACAGTTTCTGTGCTATGTGGAATTCTAGCCATTTGGATGCACCGCAGAAAGCAAACTTAAAGTTATTCAATCTTAATGTTCTGGAAATAATTCTGTTCGACCTCCACTACGTCCATACCATCCCTGGTAGATGTTCGTCCATTCTCTGCCTGAACACATGCCCCAGCTTCTGAGGGAGTTACCTGCTTATTGATATTAGTATATGTTTAATGATCTTCTGTGGGTTTAGGAGGAGAAATTTGTTTCATGTGTGATGAACATATTGCTCCATCACTGTGCAATGTAAATGACAGAAAGCTCTTCCTTACATGAGGAGAAATATGTCATTCGTGTTTTCTATCCCTCTGCCCTCTGGAATAATGCAGACTACGTCAATCCCTGTTTCAGACAGCAGCCCTGCACTGGTAGAAGCTGACTCATATGTCTCCTCTCCTAAGCCTGCTCCTATTTAGAGGACCTGTCTCAATATTTCTCTGCTGTTCCTCCTGTGATGTGTTACTCAGGTCACGTGTTACTCATGTTGGGCTCCTTTGGCCCCTCTCTGTAAGGGTAAACACTGTCAAGTCCCTCTCTTTTGCAACTGATATAATTCATTCTTAAATTTAGATTCAAGGCTTTAAACTGGTTTTGTTAAATTTCCTCTGGTGGGCTGTGTATGTGAGAAGTGGCAAGGAATAAGATTGGAAAGAACATGGGATTTGGAATCTGTCCTCTGGGTTCAAATCCTCCCTCCGCTGCTTACTTTTACTCCATACTTATATAGACTAGTATTCAATATAGAAAGAGATAGAAATGCTTGTTAAATATTGTAGTGGATTGAATTATGTCCCCCCAAAACTCACTGAAGCTTGAATCGTGTCTCCCAAGTTTTATGTATTAGAAACTTGGCCCCCACTGTCACTGCTAAGAGGGTGGGTAATTCTATTATGATAATTGAAAAGTGGGGCCTTGAAGAGGTGATTAGATTGTAGGACCCTGCAGTAGTGAATGGATTAAAAATGCTTGGTTCTGAGGGCTTTAAAAGAAGAGGAGAGTCTGTCTCTCTCTCTTGCTCTCTCTGCTCCACTATTTTGTCAGTACGATACCCTGCCATCACTGTTGCCACCACCAAAACCTTCACCAGATGTGTTCCCTGGACTTTGGACTTCCCAGCCTCAGAAACCATAAGAAGTACATTTTGTTTTCTTTGTAAATCACCCAGTTCCATGTATTTTGTTATAAGCAACAGAAACGGACTAATACAAATATTAAGTGATAATAAATACTGATAGTAAATATTTGACAATGAAGATAATTTATTCCTTTCCACTCAATGTGGCTTTTGTGGCACAAAAGAGACAACATTTTGTTTCTTTTATTTTGTGTATAACCTTATCTCTGCTTGAATTATCTGTACTAACTCTAGTGAAGTGACTATCACACTTACTGTGCTCAGATAGATAGGTAAGGCAGACAGATGGTGTGGAAGTTTAAATATTTAAAGGTTGATCTGAAAATGGGGAAAAAATGTTTTTGTGCTTGAATTTCCACTACTAAAAGAAGGAACAAAAATGTACTATTCGATCATGGAATTCTGACTACAAATGGGAGTAATCGCCAGGTTTTGAAAGATTAGCCTACTCTCTAAATGGAAAACTTGGCAACATCATGAAATTGAAATGAAAAGTTTAGAAGTGTGATTGCTGCTGCTCCAGGCCAGAAGCCGCTGCTCACCTTTCCTTCTCAGCCCCTCTGACTGTGCTAGTTCAGAGAGCACCAGATGAGTAGGAAGTATCAGGTTTTACAACTTCTGCCATCGTTATGGCAAAGGTTTCGATCCCTTATTACCATGATGTTAAATAGAAACACAACCCATTTAAAAGAAAAATCAACTCTGTCCTGGAGATGAAATGAAGGTCAAGAGAGTAAAAAAGTCTAACTAAGCTGACTAAGCAGGAGAGGAAATGAGATGATTTCTTGGATGAATTGTCGCCTGGAGGCTGGGAGAAAGAGAAGTTGAGTGCTTTCATAGATTGTGATTCTCTGACTTTGGTAAATGGCAAAGAAATGAAGGGGCTTGATTTAATTAATTCAGTTTATCACTGGTGATATTAATTGTTCGATGGATAATGATGGGATCTCTTATACAGGTCTGGTAAAAAGTTTAAGGTTAAAAATACAGTGTCCCATGCTGCCTTTCCCAGAGGACATAGGATGTACGATATTTCCATCCACAGGCTTTTTTGGTGGAACTCAGTGGCTGAATCACCCTGGCGAGAGCCTCTGGGCAAGGAAAGCATACTTCTACATTATCTCTTTGAAAGTGGAATGGGACACAACCTCTGCTAGCTATTATTTTTTTTTTTTTTGTGAACCATTCTATTAATACCAATCAAATCGAGAAAATGATCAAATGAAATCGCATTTTGAGCATCATAAGCTGTGTAATGTCTATTCTGTTAAATTGGGGCCTATAATTGCTTCTCTACTGAAAAGATACAACAAAGACAGCAATCATGGCATGTCATTATCCCAGACTAGAAAACCGGCCTTTGCAGGGAGGACTTCAAAGGCTTGTGGTTCTCGAATTGCATTTGGCTGCTATTGTTGAAGCGCAGGCAATCTTGATTAGGTGTTTACACTGAGGTAAGGCGCAGAGCAGAGAGTCTGAGTGCCTGGGTCTAGAGCCATTAAAAAATTGTACATTATGTTCCTTGCTTTGAAGTGAGGGTTTGTAGGTAGGAAAGCAACTGAGATTGAGTACAGCTGAGCTAGATTGGGCTGCTACTTCTCTCTCAAAGAAACTCATCAGGTTCTTAGAGAATCAGACAGCACCATGAAAAAAAAAGTTGATGCTTTACCGAGAGCTATACCTGAATTAGTGTATCTGCATAGGCACACACTGAAACAAGTTTAAATAAGTATATTACCACTAAATTCTGCAATCACTGGAGGGTTTGCTCCCTTTTTCCTTTATATTCTTTTTTTACTATTAACCTTACGTTTAGAGGTTGTGAGGGGGCCCACATTAATTTATTACGTTCTTTGTTATTTTTATTCGTTGATGATATTAACTACTAGCCCATCCCCCAATTAAATAAGCCAATAAATCCGATTTAAAAATTTTATTTGTTTACCATCATTCTAACACATCTGTGATTTAATCCCTCTCTTCTGGACATAATCATTAGATTGAGTGAGTCTTTATTAACCTGGCTAACGAGTGATATGAAGTATTTATTTCTCTGTCCTATTTCTAATACATTTTGCCATGTGTGGGTTTATGACTGCTAACATCAGCACTGCTGCTGCCTGCATTTATACATAACCAGCAAAAGAGGAGGAGGCACAAAGATACAGATAGTCTACCACTGTTGGGCTGCAACACTGATATTTAGCATAGCTGTTTAATTATCCAGGAGCTTGACTTATTGAGCTATTTAGAGACAAAACACATGACATATTTTGGCTCTGCTGCCGGCCACTCTCTCCATTCCTATAGAACACTTCATAATGTATTTAGCACATATGTGCTCAATAAGATTTTGTGTGTGTGTGTGGCTGGCCAGTATCAGGATCCAAAACCTTGACCTTGGTGTTATAACAATGCCCACTACCAACTGAGGAACCAGCCAGACCTCAATAAGAATTTGATGACACTGAAACGCTTGACTGTATAATTTTTTACATTCATTTTCAGTATAAAATACCTGAGCTTTTAAAGCCTCCAAACTAAAGGTCAGTCACCTACTTAGGAACCTG